AAATTATAAATTATTAAAATTATAAATTATTAAATTAATTATATTATAAATGTAAATTAAATGACAGTTGTTACATGCACTGACATATATTAATCGAGTGAATATATTTCACTCACACAATGAAGCAACAAATTGCACGGTAGGAACAGACGTGCAAATGCTAAATTAAATTTAATTTTGTTGATATACGAACATTTTTGGGGCCATATCGTTCTCGCTGCTGTGTAACCCTGATGTGTAATTGTAATTGAAACGAAACATAATTCAGGTAATCTGGTTAGTGAGACCAAAATCGTAACGGAGGTAATGTCCAGCGCCATTTACGAACACGCCATTTTTTGTCAACTGAGACCGATTATTTGAATTATATTGAACTGCATTAACAAACATGTTATCTTATTCTCTATTTAAGTCAGTATTGGAGTTAAGCTTTGTTTCGCCTTGTTGAATGTACCAAATCTACTCGAAATAATATATTTTTAAATGTTGCTATTGTTTTAAAAGTGTCTTACTAATGGACAACTATGTAAATCATAGCACACACTGTCACTCATGCTACAATATCACTAATGACTACAGTGTTATCAATGGCACACACTGTCAAACTGATTCAGTTTAATTATATATAATTGTTGTTCAATACATGAATGTGCTATCCTGGTAAATGGTAATTTTAGACTGGACACATGGAACATTTTTGCTCAACTATTGATTTTATGTTTCCATGCATTCTTTGCCTTGTAATATATATATATATATATATATATATATATTAACATGGTTCGTACAATTACCGGACAAAATTAATTACAATTCGTAACATTACCGGACATCGGGTACAAAACCGGACAAAAATCGAGTCCGGTAATTGACGCTAGTACTTATTTATGTGTAAAAACCGGACACGAAAAAATGTAGTTCATTTATTTTCGTGTCCGGTTTTTACACATAAATAAGTACTAGCGTCAATTACCGGACTCGATTTTTGTCCGGTTTTGTACCCGATGTCCGGTAATGTTACGAATTGTAATTAATTTTGTCCGGTAATTGTACGAACCATGTTAATATATATATATATATATATATAAACGTAAATTACAATCAATCAAGAGGGTAAAGGGGTAAATTATAACCAATCTAATTATTCATGCTATACAATAAATATATAATCACCAATACTATGCTCGAATACCTGCTTGTTAATATTACTTGATCATGTGCGAATTAATGCGAGACATTTTACCCCGGGAACTGCGACAATATCTGGAACAGCGCCGTCCCCGCTTGTGCTAAACTCCACGGTCGTACGACGCCTCAGTTCCCCCGCTTATCTGAGTTCTAAAAGGCGGAAAGCTTTTACTAAAAAATGTAAATTGTTATAACATAGTGACTGAATTGTGAGAATTAGAAATTCTGAAATTGTGAGAATTATGAGAATTAGAACACTAAAATATTTACCTATGCTATATTTATTTCCGATGGTATGAAAAAATTATAATTAGATACAATTTTATAGAATTAGGTTTTCTTACCCACAGCTATATAAGCTATATAAGAGACACCCACAAAAGATTAAAAAGTTTTCACAAAATATTTCTAATTCTTTATTAAATAAATAAATATATTTGTAAAATAATTTAAATAACTTTCGGCTAAGGTATTGGAAGTTATTGGTAATTTAGCTAGCAGCCATCAAATATCTCTATGTAGGGTAAACAGAAGAAAACATTTACTTACATGTTATTTTCCGCCAGCATTTCCACGACGAGCAAAACTTGGGCGCTCTTTTTTTTCCAGGCACCTCCCAATTTTTTCACGTCTCCATGCAGGATGTTTCTAATTGTCACGTTTTATCATTCGATCTCATGGGAACTGTGATTATGGCAACAATTACGGTGTTAGAACTCTAAAAATTTATGAATTGTTTCCATTCAAAGTTACCATATTAATTATTAGTAGTAAAATAAATTTTATCAAAACTTTTATTGTGAAAAAACAAATAACGTAGAACACAATTATTATATTCAGGTACAAAATATTCAAATATATTGAGAAAGAAAAACGCCAACTAATTCAGATAAAAATTTTGTTCTTATATATAGTCCAGCCGAGATGCTTGCACAATGTACATGTGTTGACGGGACTACGCTGAAGCAGCATATTCAGCATATTCTTTAAATCATATTAAGTACATTATTATAATACATCATATGGAAAACAATTAGCATAATATTAAGTATATCAATTACATCACATTGAGGGCATTATATTAAGCATATTAATAATAATATTGAGTATTTCTTAATGAGTGCAATATATTAAGTACATTATCTTGAGCATCATACCGAGTACATAATTGAGAGCTTTTTAATAATTAAGTACATAATATTGAGGACATCATATCGAGTACACACACTTGTTCAGTCTGGTGGCTCTGACCGGACGGTGACAGCACTGGTTATTGTTCCACATTTTTTATTAGTTCCGGCTGTGTCATACGGACGCTTAATTTATTATCATTGCTCATTTATTGCTTATCAAGCATCTTTATCCGCTAAGATACTGAACACTTGCAAGGCCACCGGTAAACACCTCTACCGTCATTCTTTTAGGTACACAATATTCGAGCTATAATTTTATTATTAGAAATATGTATTATTTTATTCTAGAACTTCATGGCGCAAATTTTTACCTTCTATTTGAAGCTCGCAAATGTTCGAAAATAAATTTAACCTGCGAAATACTGTCGAATTTTCATGTCTTTAGACGAAATTCCAACTGATGATTCGATGGAATTGATTTGCTTGATATCATAAAATAAAGTGATGGACGATGTAAATTTCAATTATTTTAGTTAATCAAGCATATTGATTGTAAAGAGCAATCCAACATTTCACGACAGGTACTAGAAATTAATTAACCGCGTAGAAGTTCACACCGCGCTGGAGAGAACATTTAGAATCTAACATTGTATTTTATGACGAGCTTCTAAGAAGAACGCGACACGAGATATTATTTGAGCGCAGGGTTGGCGATTTTTTTGATTTTTTTAAAAAAATCAAAAAAATCAAAAATCAATGATTTTTTTGATTTTTTCATGATTTTTTTGATTTATTTGATTTTTTTGATTTTTTCAGTTTTTTTAATTTTATATCCATTCACTGCATTTAATTATTTTATATATAGTCTTGTAATTGTAATTGTTTTGTTTCTAGTTTTAAATTCACATATTTAAAGATTGAAATTAAATATTTGAATTAGCATACTCGTATTAGGGAGGAAAATCTTTCTAATTGCCTAAAAGGTCAATAAAATCTCAACCTCTCAATATACAGGGTGAGGGAGAACCGATTGAGCAGTTTTGAGGTAAAATAAAAGAGTAATGGAGGGACATAAAGATTTAGTTTATTTTCCTAGAGGTTAGCATAACATACCATTTAGAATACTTATGTTTTGAAAACAATATCTGGAAGATGGGGGCTGGCTGTTAGCTGCAACACACTGTTGGAGTCGTTCTCAGAGGAGGTAGTAACCATGACAGTGAATTCCAATTGCCATGCTGCAATGTTGCAAAATTTCTTGCATTCCATGATGGAAAACATTGTTGAAAATGAAGCATTGGGAGACATGTGGTTCCAGCAGGATGGGGCTACAGCTCAAACAGCCCGAATGTCACTCAATGTTTTGAAACGCATGTTCCCAGATTCTGAGGGGGGATTTACAGTGGCCTGTGAGGTCACCTGATTTGAGCAGGAGCATTTGCGATTTCTTTCTTTGGGGACATCTAAAAGAAAGGGGTTCAGAAGTCGCCCTCACACCCTATACCACAGCTAAGGAGACAGATTATTGCAGCAGAGGTTATGGCCATACCTCGCCATATGTGTAAACGTGCTGTAGGAAACTTCCGGGAACAACTCCAACAGTGTGATGCAGCTAACAAACCCCCATCTTCCTGATATTGTTTTCAAAACATAGTATTTTAAATGGTATGTTATGCTAATCATGAGGAAAATAAACTTTCTTCTTTATGTACCTCCATTACTCTTTTATTTTGCCTCAAAACTGTTCAATCAGTTCTGTCCCACCCTGTATAAGCTAGCTAACACATTTAAATTGTATATTGTAATCAATAACGTATATAACAAATGGTCAAATAGTTAGACTACTTATAGCCTCATAAGAATTAGCTAAGCTGCTAGCTACATACAATGTATTGCACACTTGATGCCTCTGTACCAAAAACATTCCATTTATTGGAACCTAATACACACTAAAGGCAACAAGTTTATATACCAATTTGTCATTCATAGTACATTTATACTAAACCATGAATAACAATACCTCAATATAAATTAAAGACTGCCACTCAATATTTTTAAATATATGAAAAAATCGAAAAAATCAAAAAAATCAAAAAAATCAAAAAAATCATGATTTTTTTATAAAAAAATCAAGTGATTTAATCACATGATTTAATCATTTTGATTTAATCATTGCCAACCCTGTTTGAGCGTGCGCAATATATGTCTTCTCATCAATATTATTATTTAGTTGCCTTTTTCGATGAAATTTGATTTGCATTTGGTGCTACGGTCGCTGATTTGCCGCATGAAAAGCGCCCGTGTCGATTGTATGTAATGCTTGCAATACATGCATTACACTAGTAATATAAAATAACATGACAAATGTTTTCATTCGTTTTTTCACGTTGAATTTCAAAATTTAGAAGTATATTAATTGTATTCTGGGTGCGGGTATTCTATTGTGTATGAAAACTAATAAGTGCATACAATCCTCGATATTAAAATGGAATATTCGGCTACTTTGCAGTGAACGTGGTGGAGGCGCTGCAGGAGTGCGTAGATATTTTATTGCATATGCTAATTGAAATATTTTTACAATCTTAATTATCGACAGGGAATATTAAGTTCTTCATAACTGTATATTTGTATTTGCATATAATATTTGATATTTACATGGAATATTACTTTACTTTGCAGTGAACGTGGTTGAGGCGCTGCAGGAGTTCTGGCAGATGAAGGCCCAGCGAGGCACGGAACTGCGGAACGGAGCACTCGTCATCTACGAGTCTGTACCGTCGTCCGCACCGCCCTACGTCTGCTACGTCACCCTGCCCGGTGGCTCCTGCTTCGGCTCATTCCAGGTCTCTTGTAGCCGGGTTATAGTTTCATTTGTTTCGCGTCATGATGCTATATATCTTTATGTCGACCGAAATTATCAAATTTTTATCATGATATAATATCCAATACTTTTCCGTAACATTTTCAAATTTTCATAGTAACACATTATATCATTATGTTTTCCAAAATTTAAAAAATTGTTATCATGACACAATACCAGTATTGTATCCCGAAATTATCAAATTTTTATCGTGATATACCGTAATATCTGATAGTGTTTTCTAAAATTATAGAATTGTTTCCCGTAATTTTTAAATCTTTAAGCCCTGATCTTATTGCCCATTTTGGTTTTCTGAAATGATGATCAAATTTACGTGTAATTGCGAGTTCTTTTATTTCCGTGAATAATTAATGTATACGTTTTGCCTTATCTACCATGGTAACTAATTATGAATAAATGAAGCAATGATTCATCCAGCAATTCATTTCATGTTTGATATTACTGACAGTTCTTTCAACATTATTGAGTGGAAATTTAAAAATATAGTAAAAAACATTGCAGGCGATTTGATGGATATTGATGAATTTATGACATTCTCTCAGCAAGACCCATACATCAATTTTAATTGTTTTTAGTAAGGAACGTCTGAAAATGTTTCATATCTTTAATGCAATAATTTCGTATCATATCGGTATTTGACATGGAAATATTTTAATGATCGATCCATAAAATGACTTTCGTAGACACTGGCGACAATAGCTCGGGAATCTCCAAATTACGTGGGTAAATTTTATGTGCTTAATGCTACACATTATCTTGATCACTAAATTTGAATACTAACATTTTAAACGATTTAAGCAGGAGTAATTATGAAATTATTTACTGATGACCTCATTTCCGCTATTAAGAATGTGAATATCGAAAAAATTCCTGCCTTTCATAAGGCTAGAAAACGCGATTTGGAACATTTGTTGTCATCCTAAATACCAATATTAAATATTTCGTGCCAGTCATTATTAGGCTACAACACCCACTCCTGACTATTTGTTTTAGTACTCACGATATATAAGCTCAATATCCTAAAACATACAATACTCTTCTTTGCTAAGCAATAATTCCAGTAAAGAATTGGATTATTTGTTATACTCAGGATATTAAGGCTCGATATCCTAGAACATGTAATATTCTTCTTTGCTCACCAATAATTATAGTCAACAATTTTATAATTTGTTAGACTCGGGATATTAAGGCTCGATATCATAAAACATAAAATATTCTTCTTAGCTTACCAATAATTCTAGCAAAGAATCGTATTCTTTGTTATACTCAGGATATAAAGGCTTGATGTCCTAAAATATATATAATTCTTCTTTGCTAAATAATAATTCTAGTAAAGAATTTTATTATTTGCTATACTCATGATATTAAGGCTCGATACCCTAGAACATATAATATTCTTCTTTGCGTAGCGATAATTCTAGCAAAGAATTTTATTATTAGTTATACTCAGGATATAAAGGCTCGATATCCTAGAACATATAATATTCTTTTCTTACCAATAATTCTAGCAAAGAATTTTATTATATGCTATACTCAGGAGTCAGGATATATAGGCTCGATATCCTAGAACATATAATACTCTACTTTGCGTACCAATAATTCTAGCAAAGAATTGTCTCCTGTTTCTCGCAGAACTGTCCTACGAAAGCAGAAGCTCGCCGCAGTGCTGCGAAAATAGCGCTCATGAATTCAGTATTCAATGAACATCCGTCGCGACGAATCTCAGACGAGTTCATCGAGAAGGCCGTGACAGACGCCAGGGCTCAGTTCAAGGTGAGATGCTTCTTAGAACTCCTATAAATATAATTAACTTATCAGAGCAGCTCCATAAAATCGCTTATTTTAAGAGGTATTTTGATTCAAATCTTGTTTCGGCATCCGTGAAGTTCTAGACTTGCTTATCCGTTCGGAAACAATTTATTTTTTATTCAGTTAATTTGTATCGGGTGTTTGCATTTATTTATTGCTGGCTTTTCAATTGGATTTTAATGTGGATATTCAAATTCATTACTGTCTCTATGTAGAATAAAGTGCTTATCAAAAGCCAAGCAACTTGGATGTAGACATCGAGTGCGGAATTTCTGAGTTCACTGTTCTTCTTTAGTAATTATTACCATGTTACTGAATTACTTACTTAAAGATCCTCCTTGAAGATAATTCGAATTGATGCTGCCGTCGGGTTACCTCCGAAACCGGTAAAATTTTTATGGTTCAGGGAATGTACAAGTAACCTATGCCAAAGCGCGGTAAAGAGGACCCAAAGTGGCTACACCGAGTCGAGCGGTCTTCAGTGAAATGTTATGCAGGATCAAGACCAATATGTAAGCCCATAGTCACAATAGGGTGCAAGCCGTATCACCCTTGAACGCTCTCAGACGTCCCATATTCTCCTTGATGGCCTCATTCGTGGCAGAGTCTGCATGCAAGAAACCATGTCCAAAGGTCGAGAACCTTATGCTTTACGCCTAGTAGTTTTCTTCTAGTCTATGGTCTTATTATACCATCTCAAATATCTAGAGCTGAACGCGGATTTTTTTCCTTCAAGTCATCATGTTTGATGTACTAAGAGAACATTCAATTTGAAGAGGGTGGGTGTGATGTAGTCAGCATCTTGGAGGGCGCGTCTTTTATGGTCCACCTTGCATTACTTTCTAGCAGATATTTCGGGCTCATCTATCCATGTCGATCTCTGCCTGTGTCGACAGATATGACTATTTACTGCCTTGTCTGAACCTTAGCACGCAATATATACATAAATAATACGCCGAAAATCGTTAAAAACGCCCTAGAACATTAATTGGATGGTCTCTGGATCAACCCGCTTCCTCTATAAACACGAACTGAGTTGTCTCTCCTCGCGTCAAACGAACGTCGTATAATCCGACGCGCTCCATCTCCCAATCACATCCTGGAATAAATTGTGGCAGATAAACCGCAAAATTGAGAACAGCGCCAGGCGCTGGATGGCTTCAGAAACATTAAACATGGAGAATAAATGGAGAGTTGGACTCAAGTATGCCTCTCATGAATATGAGCCTAGTCGTGGTGGTCATCATACACAAATGCGATGCCACGCCAGACTGATGCGTGTCTCACTGAGTCTTGATTATAATAGAGAACAACATGGGATGATACCTGCCAAATTTACAGTTTGGAATTAACATTCATCCAATGATCACATTTCATTTGCAGCCCATTGCGTTAACACGGCATAATATATAATATGTCACAAAAACTGTGGTGAAATAGTTTTATTACCTCTAGTCTCAAATAACGATTTCGCAATTCGTCAGTTTCGTTACTTTGGGATTTAAATTTCCGTTTAAATTATGTTCTGATTTCCGGGGTGTTCTAACGCTATAAAAGATTCAAAAGCTATATTTGAAATATTCTTTGTACGTGTGAATGGGCAAATTGAAATAGTTATTGATGAAAAACTCATTAGATTCTACTGACTTTGAAAGATCGAAACGGTGATCAAATATTATTTTACCGTACATAAATGTAGGGAACACGCGATAAGCATGTTACACTCTTATTTTATGTGCGTCTCTGGAGTTTTTTCCTAATTCAACATGACAATGTGACTTGTATGAATCATTAACGTCGCCTAGCTTGCGCACAACTGATAATTTTCAGTTCAGTGATTAAAAGTAGTTTCAAAAAAGCGAGTCGAGAAGCAATTATCAAGAGCAGAGTTACATACAGCCCCAATTGGAATCACTGCAGAAGTTTCATGACAAAAAAGAATCCGGCAAACATTTTCTCGATGTGACGGATTTAAACGTGACTGTTTTAACAGAAAGCTATCCAGTTTATTTCACTCGCAGTCGGTTTTTCAGTAATAAGCTCGGGTTAATAAATAATGCAAGGATGAATGTAATCGTTCACTTGATTTCCCTATTGCAGGGTGACCCTGGAGAGGCAGACAGTCCTAGCACAGGGATCGGGGCCTTCAGATTCATGCTTGAAACTAACAAGGGCCGCACGATGTTAGAGTTCCAGGAACTGATGACGGTTTTCCAGCTGCTGCACTGGAACGGCTCCCTGAAAGCCATGCGTGAGCGGCAGTGCTCAAGGCAGGAGGTGGTCGCACATTATTCCCACAGAGCTCTGGACGACGACATGCGCTCACAAATGGCCCTGGATTGGATCGCTCGCGAGCAGGAAAATACAGGCGTGATAGCGCGCGAGCTCGGCCAGAGTGAGCGAGAACTTGAGGCGGCAAGGCTAGCCGGCCGAGAGCTCAGGTTCCCTAAGGAAAAGAAGGATATACTCATGCTCGCTTGTTCGCAACTCTCCCCCTCTCCTTTGGATCCTTGAATTGTTTTCTTTCAAGAGTGCTCGATATTATTTATAGGGCTAGAAGGAACCATATATGAAGTTTTTGTAAGTAAAAGCTTGCGTTTTGTAATTTTAAGGTCGCGTGATTAGTATTGTACAAAGTGTATAAAGTGACTCCAAAGAATATTATGTAATTATAGAAATATGAATTAGATCGTCCAGTTGAGTTTCCTTAACGAAAAATTTGCCCTCTGTTTTTATATTTCCCGATAGAATAAGATTTGTTGAAAAGTTACTGAAATTGTCCTCCTGTCTCGCTTTCAAAAGAATATCCCAAGCTTTTTTCTGTAAGGTGATTAGATCGATCTCAAGTATTTCACATTGCGTCCCTTTTTGTTGGTAGAAATAAGTCGATGGTTTTATTATTACTCGAAATATTGTGTTGGTTATGTTACCGAGCCTAATGCAGCTTGAACTGTTCGCGCATAAAGGTGCTTCCTGTCATTAACTTTTTTTGCTGCTTTCTTGTGCCTATGCCTGATTTACAATTTTATTCAAAAACTTATACGGGATATTTTCGGGAGCTGGATTTTTTCTCAGTATTAATGTTTGGTTTTTCTCTTTGACGGAGGTAATTAATTGTCATAACACCTAGTAAGAGTTCTTCAATATTCAAACGCCAGAACATCTCGTAGGTGCGATCCTAGAGCCTTCTAGTTTGGTTGTTCCAAAAACGCAACTTTATTTTCAGAAAAACAATTTTAAAAATCGATTTTGAAATTTAGTTACTTAGTATACTTCATAGTGAAATGAAATCGTGGTTCAAATTTATTGAGAAATAATAAAGATATTTTTGCGGAAGTGTGTTTTAATCGTGAAATTCATTAAATCATCGCAGAAGCAGTGCAAACTTTTTTTCACGCTCACATTATTTATGCGTTGGTATTGATATAAATTGTTCAGCGTATCGCATGTAGGAAATAGTATGTAGTGCATTGTCAAAATAAAACATGAGTTTCTTCGTAAATACTTCGATCAATTTTCTCCTGTAAGAACTAGTTGCTCCTGAAATATTTTCGCGTTTGGCTTTTCTATGCTTACGTGCTCTAGTGATTCTACTTAAATAATAAGCATTCTTTGTGGGCGCTTTACTTATGTATATTGTTCAGAAATGTTTGTTGTAAATTGCGAGTATTTAAATTGTCTGAATTCGTTGGCGCACAGAATTATCTGAAATTGCGTCAAAATGTAATTGTTTGTTCCTATGTTACCAACCATAACATCCACGCGATATTCTTCATTTAAATTACACGAGAATTAGATTTTAAATGTGAAATTAATTTTTGAGAATTTCAAAAGAGCTTGCAAGGCTGATAGGCCCACTGCATCCTTTCTGGACAGTTCGGAAGGGATAGTTGTCTTTCAAGAATCGTTGAATCTTTTTAGCATTAGAATTTCGTTGATATGTATTTATGTCTGCTAGCGTGTATTTATATTCTTGTGTAAATAGCAAGTTTCTGTTGAAGATTATGGAATATTCTCTTTCTTTGAGGTTTCTTAGCGCAGCTTATTTCCAAACGCTACCTGTTTTCTCGTTTAAAATCTGCTTCAATTTTTGACTAATTTTCATGCCAACATCAAAGGTTCCGTGTTGATTTATAACCCTTGGACGTTCCGCAGAATGCTTGGGAATGAGCAGTTGTCCACCAAAAATTAGTTAGAGACTAAAATGAGATGCAATGATCCTAGGCTTTTATCGGAACAAGGTTAACTGCCCAGATATTTGCTGTGTCCCACAAAAGAGAAAAAAAGGATCCTTAATTTTTACACAGATAACCTTGGGCGTTTAACAAGCAAAAGTAATAATTAGATAAACGTTGTGAATTGATCTTGGAATTCTTATTGCTTAGATTCCCCCGATTCTTCGCAAATCGTCGTCTACGTTTCATCTCAGAAAACCGAAAAACAGTTGACATTCTTAAAGTATTGCTCTAAATTTTCTCAGTCTAATAGTTCTTTGAAAACATGAGATTGATAAGGCTTAGCATTAAAGCACCGTGGTTATTTTGTCTTTTGTGTTATTTTATATCAAACGAGGCCACCTACGACTTTATGTTTGCTTCCGTTCTTTAGTAATAATACACTGTTAAAAAAATTACCGTTAACGGTATTACCGGCGTTTCAGTGGCCGGTCGGGACGTGAAAAGAAACACCATGTCGCCGTTTTTATTCTAATTTGACTCTTGAAATCCATAAAGCATCTGATAAAAACGGCGAAACAGTTTATTTTCACGGGGCGACCGGCCACTAGAATGCCAGTGGGACCGTTTTTTCGCCGTTTTTTCTAACAGTGTACCTTTATATTTCAGCTATAGCTTTGTTACAATTTAACTGCTGCTAGTGTTGACTTAATGGAAAAAATATTCGAATTAAATGCTGATGTATTGGAGATTACGTTCCCCCGTAATGAATCGAAGAAAAGATTTTGTTATTTCAGTTTCTGGACATTTGTCTTTGGGGTCTCTTCAAAAATTGGTAGTTAATAATGCTGAGGCATATAAAAGTAACAATCAAATATTAAATAATATATCTAGAATAACATGATCCGTTTTGTCGCTATTAATTGTGTACCGAACTAAATTTCATGTGTATGAAAAAATTACAGTTTTGTTCGGATGTCATAGTGCAAGTTTTTAAATGGTCAAATGAGAAATCAGTAAAAATTGTTCCGCAAACATATTTTTAGCGCATTTTCTCATTTATGGAAAAAATGCACTATTGTACTCGCCATGTCCGTCTGTCTGTCCGTCCGTCCGTGACCTCAAGTTTTCGTCGACGAGAAAATGCGCTCTCTGTCACTCACCGCAGTGAGTACTGAGTTATATTTTTTCTGTTTGTTAAAATTAGCATTTCCTGAAATAAAAAATCGCATATAGTGAGCTTAAAGTTACCATATTCGTACCGTGTGATTCTGAGTAGCAGGGAAACCGTAAGTCGCAATAGTCCTTTTCAAGAAAATTTGGAGCATTAAATGTGTTGATTTTTTTTAAAGTAGCGCATCCTAGTTTAATTCTCATATTTTATTATTTCATATTATTATCTGTCGCTTTTTATGCCTGAGCCTGCGTTTTAAATGTGCCATGATGGCGGGTTTGGCCGTTTCCTTTCGCTTCAGAAATCGTTGCAATTTTAAGCTTTAGTTTGACTAACTTTATGTGCTCGCATGTTCGCAATGTTTGTGGTCAACTCTAAGTAGTGTCACCCATACTCCCAGTAGTGGTGATATAATAGGCTACAGGAAGAAACCTTTCAAATTATTATTCACAACGCATTTGTAGCACGATACCATATTTGTAAGAACCGATCTATCAACGTCTAGTATTAGTAAATACGTCATTATGATCAAAATTTCGAGCTGATGCTGCTGCTAGGGAGATGTAAAGGCGGGCAAAGGTTCTGGCTGTAAGCTTTCTCTGTTCGACGCCGAACAACTTGTATCCGATCCGTTTGTGATCAAGAATGTATGGTAGAATGGCTAGGTACGTAGAATGATATGATAGTCTGAGAGAAGTAGCATCGATGTGGAGCCTTAGGAGACGCATATCCATTTCGAACGTAGACTCGTCTTGGTAAAAACGAGGAGTTTGAAATAGTTTTGGAGGAGAGTAAATCGCTTCTTGTAAATCGCAGTTGTACAAAAAAGTAAATCTGATCAAAATTCATAATTAATTAACATGGCATTTTCTAATGAATTCACTTCAGACATGTTCGTGTACGTTTAATATTTCTAATGACCAGTACGGCAGCTTACATCGATATTTTTTTAATTACTCGCATTGTATTGAGTTTATCACCGTTTGCTGATGAATCGAAGACAATTCAAGGTACACGCACTACATAAATTCTCAAACATCTTGTTCGGCTCACTTATGTACATTATGCCAATATACCGTAAAACAATCATGGAAACTGTGCCGGCGAGTAAGAGCTTACATCTCGGCATTCCACGTAGAATCTGGTGATGATTAACTTTTTGAATTAAATTATCAACGAAGTGATGTGTAAATTTCATCTTTTACCGTGTATAAAAAATTCAAATTTCCTAAAATTCGTCATCGCAATAATATTTTTGAAACTCCGTTCTACTTCACTAAGTTTTAATTAGTTCTCTATTTTACGTATCAGGAATATCTGTTTGGACCCACAAACCAGGCTGTATAAGCTTTTGATTTTACCAACTATAGTGATAGAATCGTGGGTTTGAGCAAATAGGTGTCTTTAGAATTGGATTTTAAGCATGAAATAATTTATTCATTCGGCTCCCGACTCTGAGTGTAAATGTTTAGTTTTGAGCCTTCTTGCTTCTTTTGTGATATGTGTTTCTATATTGTGTGTGCTGGTGCAAGAAATGCCTTAGATAAAATTTATAGGGCTTTCTTTTTCCTTTAAAAATTGTTATGGAATTATTTCGTTCTAATGAACATGTGGACAAAGAATATTGTTGAACGGAGAGTTATTTCTGAAAATTGAATAGTATGGCGGAAAGCTTCTATAAAATCGGCATATTGGCCAATTAAGTCAGAATAAACAACGACCAATATGCGGCTTGCTTAAAATATGATTTTTAATAACTATAACTTTTACACAAATCTAATATTAAAGAAAAATAATGAGCTCGATATTATTGCTAGCAATCTTAGCAAGGATATTTAACGATTATAAATTTGGTGGCAAATATATTTCTCTTATTTGAAAATTATAGAATAGAAAAGTCATTCATCAAGAAAAACAAGATAAGGTTTTATTACACTCTGTATACGTGATAGGCATGGACACAATAATTTCAACTTATTCGGACCTAAATCGATTATGGCTCTTTCAGCCGTGGCCCATCTAAGAAAGTTCATAGAGCTGCTTAAAAAATGTCCACGTTTTCAACCATTCATTCCTGAGTTTTTCGTCAGAGACGAGGTTTAGGATCGGTGGGATTGGACGCTATGATTTCACATCTCTTCCACAGCTGTGGGGTTGGTCCTGCTTCGGACGCGCCTGTGGGGCGTCGTGGCTGTGCTTGCTGCTGACCAGAAGACGGAAGTAGCCTTGGATTTGACAACTGTGGTGATTGTACATAAGTTTGATGTGGATTCATAGCTGGAGGATTTGATATAGCAGTGCCTACAGCTGGCTTCGTGTTTTTTCGACTAGAATGTTGATTGATATCACTTTCAGGAGGGACTTCTGTCATTACAGGAACCTTAGACAAGCTCCCTGTGAGGTTGTAGACGTCGACTTTAACTCCCGATGCTTTAGATGAACTTCGAACGCTCCCCGAGGAGCTTTTAGCTGCCGTAGGGAAATCTTTAGGGTCTTTGGAAGTAGTGGCAGAAACCGAAGCTACCTCGGCAGTTCTGGACCGCGTGATGGGTTGTTGAGGAGTTTGCGTTGTGCTTCTTTCTCTTGCGTCCTGGGCTGACGTCGTGGAATAAACATGAGCCCTTGTACCAAAAGTGTGCGTGGCAGAATGTGCTAGAGGTGCTGATCGCGAAATAAGTTCGCCCGTTCTGCGTATTCGACGAGGTAAAAGAGGTGGAGGTGAAGGAGGCGGCGAAAGTCCGGGAGTACCTGAATCTGGACTTAGGAGAACAGGAGGAGACGTGGCCCTGCTCATCGGCGACGAAGTTTCAGATGCGAGCATAAAGTCAGAAACTGGTGTATTTCTCGGAGATGGTGACAAAGTAAACATATCGGTGGACGAGGATGATAAAACAGAATCATGGCTTTGCTTTTCGACGTCTTTTTTACACAGAGGCTGGAAACTCATGGTGCCTGTGATGGGCTGTCCAAGATAGGAATCGCTACTACCGGTTCTGGGACGCGATGTGTTGACGCTCGAGTCTCTACGGCGAGTTCGAGCTTCTTCCGCCATGATGGAATCTTCAATGAAGGGAATGTCAGATTCCCTTATGGAAGTGGACGGAATAAGTTGTTGCTGAAGAGGCACTGGAATTTTCAATGAAGCAGTTATGACCCCACAGGAATCTATTTCTGGAGAAGATAACCTCCTCAAGCTTTCCTCGGGAACTCTAAGCCTTTCTTGGGCGGCGGTTTGGTCGCTTGAACTTCGTTGCCGATGGTCACGCGAGTCTGTTGGATCATTGCCTTGATCCACGCTACTACGGTGCATTGATAATCGCCTTTCGTCTCTTTTAGAAAGTTTATCAGATTTTTTCTTATCAGAACCCTTTCTCCTTATCCCGTAGTCAATGGAATTTCTGGGTGATGTTTTATCTCTTCTTCTGAACCATCTGCTTCTCTCTGGGAGCTTCTCTTCAGCCGGCTTGTCTAACTCCCTCGAAGAACTTTTGTCTCGACGTCTGAACCATCCACGCTCTTCGACGTGAATTTCTGCCCCGGCACTATATTTTCTCTCTTCACATTTCCCCCTGAAAAGTAAAATGATTAAGAAAGAGGTCTTTCAGTCAGTTCCTATATGAAAAATTTCAAAAATTGGAGCAAATTTTTTGCTTAAAATTTAAAGTTTGCTTCCTTACGTCGATTAGTCACTGAACTAAAAGATTGTGTGAAATTTACTATTGTAAAAAATTAATTTATTTTCGTCATTCATATAGGCACGTGCATAATTTAAACAGCGAATTCATTGCTTTTCACTCATTGAGATATTAACTAGCCTACAAGCCATGAATAATTGGTTGTGCGTTCATCTGCGATACGTATATTGGATAATGTGCATGAAGGAGTTTATTCGTTGCGTAAACTTCAAAGCGAACCTATAGTTTTGATGTCTACAATATTAGTCAACGCGTTGAATTGATGAATATTTGAACTTCTTTCTTCATAACGAGCATTTATTAAGGGATCTAAGCACTGGAGGATGCAAAGCTGATGACTCGTACCTGTTACACAGGTGACTACCACTTCCATTATCATTAACACTACTATTATAACTACTACTCGTACCTATAATACTACTACTATTACCTTTAATGCTACTACTTCTACCTAAACCTGTAACACTTCTACTACTTCTAACACCACCACTACTAATACTACGAGTATTATTACCTCTAACACTACTACTATAACTACTACTCCTACCTCTCGCACTACTTCTACTACTATTATTACATTTATCACTACTACTTCTTGTCATACCTGTCACACTACCACTAATATTATCTCTAACATTACTACTTTTATTCATACCTGTCGCGCTTGTCCTCCGTGTTATCCCCGGCAGGATTCCTGCTCCGTGCTGACCGCCCGTCAGCGTCCTCTGGTCCCTTCAACCTGAGCGACACACAAACAATCTAACGGTTCTTGGTGAAAGACTAGAGACATTTAATGGCGAAAAATAGGTTTTCAACGTCTCCATCAATAAACGCAACGTTCTTTTATAATAAAATTTGGATACATTTGTGAATCACTTCTCGCGGAACGGAGTTTTAAGTCATAATCAACACCTGAATTACCTGTCGAACTCATTGTGTTCTGTGGGACTGCGTGGCAGAGACATGGAACACTCGCTTCCGTCGAAGACGCTGCTGCTGCTCTCGGCGTCGCCCTCCAGCCTGTCCAACCAAGATACCAATATTTGAATCGAACCCTTTACCAGCTTTGATAAATGGTTTTGTTTGCTGTTAGTGAGTACCATTTCGTCAAGTGTCTCCAGAATACATAGAAGAAATATCATAGAAAATTTCCACCGGCTATATGGTTTTGTTGAAGTCAGTGAAAATCATTTTCTCGAGCTTCTTTAGAATTCATTGAAGAAATATCTTAGGACACTTTCACCCGATATGAAAAATGGTTTTCTTGCCAGTCAAGAACTATTTTATCAAACGTCTCCATAATTACACAGTGAATAAATGCCTAGTATCCTCGCCAGTTTTGAAATGCGGTTTTGTTCTTGTCAGTGAAAAATTTTTAACGAGCGTCTCAATGACAAGTGGAAAAAATGTACTATGTGCCAGTTAAGAGTTTCGGTGCACATCTCTAAAATTATTTGAAAATATTTATGTCATTATCAAGTGCAAACACTAAACGTCCCACAGTCGGATACATCTTCTTAAAAATTGACATGTGCAATATTTTATCGCTAATTTTTTTTGTACGTTTTATCTTCTATTTACGAAAAGAGCATGCACCGGTCCTCCATTGACCGTACAAGAAGTTTGCATTTCAGATGAATTCAGACGAATCAAATTTTGTAAACGAGATTACGATGGTAGTTCTATGTAAAATGCCAGTTTGAATAGGTCATTCTTTGATTATCAGGTAATAAATTCATTCATATTATCGGGATTCGGGTTGACGAGATTAAAAAATTGCAGGGATCAATATAATACACAATGATGTGCAAGTTAACAATACAACGATGTATCGGTGTAGCTGTTATATATAAATACTTTTAAATAAAATAGCAGTTATATATAAATACGTTTAAATAAATTAGCAGTTATATATAAATACGTAAATATATATCAGACTGATCTATAGCCCCCGTACCCCACGTGTCCTGGGGAATATGGTGGTGAAGTTGACAGTCGTCTTGCTGGCTGCAAGAGACTACTTAACAGCTGCTGCAGCAGCTGTTGGCCTCTGATACTGCAGCCGTAAATACATAGTGGATAGGGTGGAGGCAAAAACGCCATGATAGAACACACCAATTATAAGGTAAATTTACGATTAGGGTTGAAGTTTAACGCGTTAGGTAAGAAAACAGGTAAGTAGTTAGCCAAAAATATTGAGTAATATAGTTGATCGGTGAGCAACAGTACAAATAACGCATAATGAGGAATAAATAAAAAGAGTATGATACTCCGTATCAAAAGCATGAACAAATTTGATAAATTTGAAACCAGTAGTATAAATTATCGTTTCAATTATAAATAAATTAAGATAGAGACCCATGATACGTGTTCAAAGTAAAAATAATAATATGACCAAATGCAAATGAAAAAAATTTCATAGGATAAAATTGAATGTTGACGAAGAGAAAACTAGAAAACAAGCGTACGAATGATGAGAAGAAAAAACGAAGCAGTTTGGACACAGTACAATTGCTCAGGAGCAGATATGCAGAGACGTATTTATTGTAACTCGTTGTCAGTGCGGAAAAGTAGATCCGGACGTAAGTCGCCGACGAGAGCGAGATCCGGAGGGCCGGATGTAGATGATTGCAGTGTGGCCGTGGACACGGATGGTTGTGGGTGCAGAAACAGACCAGAAGCAGGCGCGTCAACACAATGAAAAGAAACATAGAAAGCATGAGATACAAAAAAATTGATTGCTCGATTACGAGAGGAGTCGAAATGTTGTGCGACACAAAACAGAGTTATAAGACAACAGTAAATCGTGAACAAACGGAAAATAAGGAATCCAGACTACAAAACAAATGAATGTATACAAAGTTTGAAGTAGATTCTAATTTGAAGAAAGATAAAAATAAATAGCCGAAACGGGAAAAACACGGATTTGTCAGAGGTTCCGTGCGGCCTAAAGAAAAGAAGTTTTCTACTGACCTATCATTCTAGATAGCTGTAAAATCACCCAAGTTTATTATTATTAACAAGCAGTTTCTGCACTGAATTATCTCTAACTCAAGCATAAAAATTCTCATCAAACATGAACAAAAACTCCGCGTGTGCTACTGTTCATTACGACTTTTGCATCATCAAATAATAATTACGACGGACCGATCAACTTTATTTTGCTATCAATTTCATTTTTTAGCAGTTTCTAATTTGTTTGTGCTCTTTGAACTCGTATATCGCTCGTAACAAATATGTTAACAAATTACGCTTTGAAATAATAAATAAGGCTTTATAGTTTTATAACGTCTTTGCGTTCGACATTTATGTGATTCACTTTACACAATTATCATTTCATGACCAAGTCGCAACTAAAGTTTAGCACAGAAGTTTCCTGACTGTTCCAAAACAATTTTGGTATTTGGTGAGACAAGAACATATGTTGCCTTACTCATCGTGTTGAGGGGATCTACGTCGCAACATCACGTCAAGGGCCTCGGGATGTGTGTCCATAAGATGGTGGTAAGTCTCGTCCAGAAGTTCTGCGCTTACCTGCATTTAAGAATTCTTAAGCATCTTAAGAGTTAAGGTCATTTAAGAACAACAAATCTAAAGAGCCGACAGTTGTGACAAGATTTTTTCTCAGGTTGTGCGTGCCAAAACCTAGCTACATTAAGCATGTGCATTGCACACTGCACAAGGGTTAGTCAAGCTGACAATTTTCATAGTGTCTTACAGCTTCACATACAAGAAGTATAATCGTTCCATTTTATGGTAAAGCCTTTTTCATGATGACTCTTGTTGGAGTAGACAATAGCTCCTGTAAACACAAGGTTTTGATCTTATTCAAGATTACGAGTATAAGTCGTTCAAACTTACACGCAGTACCCTCTATCTTAATTCACGTCAGGAAAAAACGGCCCTGATAGTTCCAAACGTACTCCTGATAGGCATAAGCTATAACTAACTGAGAGGAACAACTCAGAGTAACTCATAGTTACTACCAAAAGGCATTAATCTCACGTAGATCGTGTCATTAACTTTACTAATTCTGTGTTCCCACTTCGGCTAAAATAAATCTAGCTGTTATAAAATCTTCTGGAACATCGATCAGAAATTAGTAGCATTTTGTCGATGAGCACTGCACGCCTGTCGTACATAATAAAAATATAATATTTTTCATGAATTTCAATATTATTTGATTCATGGATTAATTTCACTGACGTAACCTGTGCATTTCTTTACATTTATTTAGTGAAAAAATTAGTCTATCCTGCGTTCATTTCTACTTGTTCTTTCAACATGGTAGATTTCTGAATTTAACGCCGATGGTATAAATAGATTTATCATTATTTTAAATAAGATTTAGGATCAATCGAGAATGTAGGAGCAAAGAAAATTTACAAAAATTTGTTACATTTTAGGTAATAAATTAATTTAAATTTAAGTTTTCAATTAAAGGTCTGTTCCCTCATCAAAAAAATTATTATATATTCACGAAAAAATTAAAACCTAATTTTGCGGATAAACAAACAAAGTAACGCTAAAGTATACCGATTGAAAATTTCAAATGGATAAATACAATAAGAGTTACTAAGAACAAAATTTCGTCTAAAATTTGTGTTGACTCCATGATCCTCAAATCAAAAAGCACAATAGAGAGCTAAAAATAGCTAAAAAATGTCACTAGATTGCTCGAATCGCAGATTCACTAGAAATTTAAAAGCGAAGAAAACTCCACAAAAATTCAGCATTTCTCTATTGAAAACGTTTCGGAGACCAGCTCCATCGTCAGTTCGATAAATCTAGAACACAAATACAGTCAGAAAATTAATAAAGTTTGGAGTCATAAGAAACTTCACTGTATCGCTTAGACATGAATTTCTTAATCTGGGTAAACACCAGGCCAGAAGGAAATCCATTAAGCGAGAAGACGTTGCGCATAAATTCAAATTCAGAATGCATGGCATGGAAAGTCAAGCATATACGGAAGCCGCGGTGTAATAGTGTTTGAAGCCCGATTAACTTGAATCTAAAAGAACAAAACTAAAGAAGCTGGTGCTTAAGCTGGTGAAAGTTGATTTTCTGAAAACAGATGTTTGAAAACGGCCATTAGATTTAGTAAAATTGTAGTCTAGAAAGGACAAACTATTGTTCGCTTCAAGTTCCATTGTGAATTTAATAGAATTATGTTGCAAGTTTACGTAATCGAAGAAAAGTTTCACATGAGAGGGATGCTTGAAAATAAGAAAGGTGTCATCGAAATATCTGTTATAAAAAATTGGTTTAAAATCAGAATAGGTCAGCCATGAAACCTCGAGAAAACACATAAAAATATTCGCAAAGGTTGGGCCGAGGGGAAGACCCATGCCCAAACCGTCAATCTGTCTGTAAAATTTACCAGCAAGTATGAAAATCGAATTTAGAAGTGATAATTCCAGCAGGGATTTAAAAAATTTCGGTTCAAACCAATAACAGTATCATGAATATCTTTAAACAAAGTATTTAGACAGATCTCAATAGTTTCAAAAAGCGGTATATTTGTAAATAAATTTTCCGCGTCAAAGGAAGCTATTGTAAAGTCCTGAACATCATAAGTCAAAGTCAACGAACATAAGTTCGTTGACTTTGAACGTTGATAAGTTCGTTGAACCTGAACATCATAAGTCAAAGTCTGAACATCACCAGTCCAACACATCAAAGGAAACGGTAACCTCGGCATCCATGCCGGCAAAGAAGGAAATGAAATTGAGAGAAACATGATGAAGACTTCAACTAAATAACTATTGCTGAGTCCAGGTGTTACAAGCGGTCAACGTGCGACTTCTTCTTCACCTACAACCCGCGACCACCACCACCAACCTCGGCATCCACAACGAAATTCGTCCTATTGACCCAGATAATGTGGTTTTCAACTATAGTTCTTTCAACTTGGAATTCCGTATAAAATTCTTGCTGGCTTTTGGCCTTGATTTTTGTTTGCCAATTTTTAAGTTGGACTTTTATATTTTTTTTAGCATTTGAAAGACTAGCTCTCAGCATAAAGAATGTTTCTACTCCTAACCGCCCCGAGTTTCTTGGGAATATGCAGAGCTAAGCCTACCGTCATTTTTACGGCTTTAAGTCATATAAAATTTTTTCTTCTGTATTTCAGCCCAGTGACACGCTTTTATTGAAAAAATTAGCCATAAATAAAGACTTGATCATTTGTAAACCTGACAAAGGCAGAAGCGTTGTTTTGGTTGATCGTAGTCGATATAACAGTAGCCTTACTGCACTCATCACCGATCCTTCTAAATTTGTCGAAATTACTGATCTCATCTCTAAAACTATTTTGAAAATCGAAAACAAAATCAATAGCTCTCTGCGAAAACTGAAGGATTCGTCTGCCTTTCCTTCTGAAACTTACTCTAAACTTTACGCCTCCGGTTCATGCCCTGGGATTTTATATGGCTTACCTAAAATTCATAAGTCTAATTTTGCCTCAAAGTTCCAATTCCGACCAATTTTTGCCGCATATAATACCCCTAGTTTTAAACTGGCTAAGTTTTTAGTTCCGGTCTTAAACTGTCTTACAACTAACCAGACAACAGTAGATAATTCTTATACTTTTGTGGACCTCTTGAAAGATTTTACTGATGTTCAGGACTTTACAATGGCTTCCTTTGACGTGGAAAATTTATTTACAAATATACCGCATTTTGAAACTATTGAGATCTGTCTAAATACTTTGTTTAAAGATATTCATGATACTGTTATTGGTTTGAACCGAAATTTTTTTAAATCCCTGCTGGAATTAAAAGATTTTAGCTTATAGTTCTGGTGCTTCCGATCTGCGCATTTTGGAATCATTGTATATTTTGAAAGAGAAGCCTAGTTTAAATGCTGCCTACAGTTCTTATCCATCAGAAATTGTGAATAGATAGGTATTTCTTGATTATTCTGCCCTTTGCCTGTAAATTTAGGTGTTAACTTCTGTTGTTTTTGTTTTTTTTCTTATGACTCCAAACTTTATTAATTTTCTGACTGTGTTTGTGTTCTAGATTTATCGAACTGACGATGGAGCTGGTCTCCGAAACGTTTTCAATAGAGAAATGCTGAATTTTTGTGGAGTTTTCTTCGCTTTTAAATTTCTTGCTAAAAATTAATAACACGTTCCCGCATACTGGGCCATATGTGTACAAACAATTATATCCCACTGCTGCGTACTGGGACACCCGTGTGCCAAACTCAATATTTTACGCAGTTTTTGGTAAAACACATACAACTCGAAATTTAGTTGGTAAAGTTCCTCTTTTAGAATATTTGTGTCCACACCCTGAACATGAAAAGTGATTAATTAGCAGGTAGAGGAGATTTTTCAATTGGAAAATTTCATGCCTCTCATGCGTTCGCGTTCGTCGTTCAGAAAAAGTTTGTCAACGCTCCTCCATTGAACCTTAGAAGACGAGTTGTGATCGAACAGACTGCTAATAGAACTTAAATTCCTTCATAACTGCATATCACACCTCAAAGAGTTCTTTGTTGTGGTCTATCATGCTGCGCACGACGTTGGTGCAGTCCAATCTCTCATCCGCCATAGCAGCGAGCGCGGCTGGAGAAGCGTTGTCAGCTCCAGCTCTGTGCATGTGCAGAATGTTGGGGGCAAACATGGTTGCCAGGTTGCGGCTGTCCATCATGTTGCCAGGGATGGTTTCACCTGCGCGACGAGTGCAAAGAATGAGCAGAGATGCAGGGAATTGGAAGTTTCGCCTACGTCATGGATTCAATCTTTCATTTTTAAGGTTGTGGGAGATGATTTTGGCGAAATGATTGTTTAAATTGACAAACAAACATGAGACATTATTCAATTTAGGTTAAGGAAAAGTACGAAATTAAGGAGAATTGAAGTTTGAAAGATATTAGCGTACAAATAATCTAAGACTATGATGTAATGAAAAGAACAAAAATAACTAAATTAGAATAAGGCTCACTGCATTCGATTTACTTTGGACGTCAAAACGCTGCAACTTTCGTATCATCGAGGCAGATTCTTGGATCAATGATTGAAGTAATTGGAATTAAATCCCATTCATGATCAAGAATGGAACATTTTAAAAACTACCACTGACCGACGATCGTCTGCCTATGATCACCCTATAATTTTTAACTTTAATTCAACTGTCGTCCCATAAAATTGTATTCACGAATAATATTAATTACTAATCTCTAGCCATTGTATTCATTTAAAAAATCCATATTTAACTTAATTATCAAGCACTGACCAGTCTCAGAGACGGTGTCCACGGCATGCTCAGCGACGACCGTGAGGAAAGACAGCAGCGCGTAGAGCGTATCTCTGTTGGCGGGCGGCAGAAGCTGAAGCAGGTACTGTGTAGCCTCCAGCTTCAGCTTCCGGTTCCTTATTCCTGGTTTATCATGTGGTAATAAATAATTATTCACGGATACTAATGATACTGTTTTAGTGACAGATAGATATTGATGATCTAGTTTTAGTAAATCACTGATAATAATGATTAGTAACAGTTTTTTAACCGATTTTTGCGCTTGCTTGTTAAACCAGTAATTTTTTCACGTACGAAATTCGAAAGGTTAGCAATAGGAGTAAACTTATTTTTGAGTATCTAGCAGATGAATTTGTTTCTAGTTTGGATAGGTCAGCTTCAGGAAAGACGGATCTTCAATTTAAAAACAGATGTTAATAACGGAACGGAATACTACAATAATGAAGTCTTTTTTATTTGTATCAGAATTACACGTTCTCAAGTGCAATTGCAGTTGAATAAGCATTAAATTCTGAAATTTCAGACACAATCGTTTATTTTCGAAGGTTTCCCTGATTATACCGTGTCGGTTTTGGCATTATTACGTTCAAATTTAAGACGTGACGGCTGAAATATACAAAACTGTGAGGGAACAGCGCTGTGGGTCGAAAGAAGCAGGATGATGGGGTGTTGCTGGTTCAACAGCCTACTAAGCCTGAGAATAATTCTTCTTGTGTCCACACACAAAAAAATGAAGATGTATGTTCAGAAGGAACTGGGTTTCTTAGTGATGAAATGATGAAGCAACTGGCTTGACTGAATTATAATATATTCCCTCATGATTGTGTCGTCATAAAGAGGATAGATAAATAATATCGCACCTCTCAACTATGTGGACCGTATAAGTTGAGCGATGAACTGTACTCTTATTCTCTTCTAGTTACAATTGTATACGAAACATGTACTCAAATAAATATTCAAAAATACCTTGCAGGGCACGTACAACTAAGTACCAAGCCAAACCTCGTAACCATATCAGCTTGTCAGCTAAGCTTATGATATTGGTTGTGAATGTTGTGTTCGATGTTAACTTAACTGAAGGAACATTTTTTCCGTATGTTAACCCAAGACTCTTGACTCACTCTGAGTGCAGAGGAAGGGCTCGTAGAGGTCTCTGGTGAGCAGAGGCTCGGGCAGATCTCTGAAGAACTCCTTCAAGAGGGTGGCCACGTCGTGAGGACAATGTTCCTCCGTCAGTACAACTTCGCCTCCTTGGTCAAACTCTTCTCGAAGCTGAAGAAGTTCGTTAAAAACGACTATTGCACTTGAATATTAATGCAATTAATTAATTCATATTAATTAAATAATAACTAATATTACTAGTCGATGGCAATAAAATTAATATTAATAGCTTATGGCAATTAATCGCCGTCGGTGATTAATTATATATAATGCAATTAATTGATATTAGTTACAGTGCAATTTAATTAAAAATAAACTGTTTACATATATATATTCAGCGTGAAAGACTGTTGCACTTGAATATTAATTAATCTACAATCAATTAACACAATGTTAAGAATATTACCAAACCATGTTCTTATAGCTACAGGGAAATAAGGTAAGATGCAAATCCAAACATGGCAAAGCTGACAAAAATGCCCAATTAAGTAGCCAAAACTTACCTGGCGCACTCTCTTCTTCGACGAAGATACCCTGAAGATACCGACGGTGTGAAGGCCGTGGTTGAGGAGATGGTTGCAGCAAGCGGTCACTAGCGATGGTACCTGCGACAGCGGTGCATCCACATGCAGCAGCTCAGAGATTCCGGCGTCTCCGCTGATCAGACTGGGCCGCTTGCGGTCCAGGTTCAGGCTCTCCAGAGACCCAGTGCTGGACTGCAACAATACTTCGGATTTTTTGATTGTTTATTATTCAAACCTAGTAATGTAATGTTTCTGCAAGACAGTTATCGCTCGTGAGAAATTTCTGTTTTTGAGAATCTCTTGTTCAGAAACTACAGAAAATAAACAAGATAACAGGATGAGAGGTTATAGAATTTTTTATTAATTAATTTATCCCTTGTCATAAATTTTTATTTATATTAGTAAGTGTAGATGGTCAGAAAATAAGCACGATAACAGAATGAGTGGTTAGAGACTTTTTTTATAAATTAATTAATCTCTTGTCAGAAATTTCTATTTTTATTTGTACGTGTAGATGGTTCAGAAAATAAACACGATAGCAGGATGAGTGGTTAGAGAATTTTTGATTTATGTCTAAAAAACTCGCGCTTAAGGAGGTACAAGAGGTAGAATTCGAATTTTCGAATGCTTCAATTTGGAGCAAACGAACCATATTGTGTCATAGCCTCTGACTTTGCGATAGAGCGAGAAACATACGTATTGTAAGAGTCTTGCAATTTCGATTGTCAAGTTATGGAAGATCGCGTCAGCAGAAGTTTTCATTTTGTTTTCTATTTAAAAAATCCTAAGATTGTTCAGAGTTTAGTTTGAAAATTTTAATGACAATGCATTATCATTTTGATTAATGTAATTCTAATGATAATGCATTTTTGTGACATTTAGATTTGACTGAAATTCATTTTTTATTGAAAAATAAATGAATATGACTGAAATTCATTTATTTTAATTTTTTTATTCATGTGAGTGTAGTCACAACCTTGGGACATAAGGCAGTTATTAATCAAATCTAATAATGTAATGTTCTCAGTAGCGTTCCAGTGCTGCTGGTCAAACAGAGCTACAGTAAATTTTTTTGCTCAATTCTCCGTCAGCAAACCTGTTTCACGCCATCGGCGATCGAGCAGAACGAGCCGTGTGAGCCCGTATGGGAAGACTTCCGGCTGAGGAAGCCCGTCGGCTCATCTGCTGGCAGGACGTCAGCTTCGATGGCCGCCGAACTTACGGCCAGCGCCTCTGCCGCCTGCTGCTGCTTCAGGCGTTCGTTCTCGAGGCATTTGGGCAGCGACAGGCCGAAAACCTGGCCGCCCAGGCCGCTGCCTGACACAGAGTCTACAGTGCATTCACTCGATGCTGACAACGGCCATTTCAATCCCCATGACTGGGTTAAATCTAACCTAACCTAACCTAACCATCAATACTTGGCCGCCCAGGCCGCTGCCTGACACAGAGTCTACAATGCATTCACTCGATGCTGACAACGGCCATTGGTTAAATTATTATCCTATATTGACCGGTGTAAATATCATCATAGACACATTTATTCATGCTGAAAAGTTACAATATTGAAATTTAATTTGTTGAACTGAATGAATGATTCTAAAACTGAGAATATTTTTTGTTAGAGAAATGAAAGTGAGAACGGTTTCAAACTTATGAATAAGTTGTATGATGAATATATTCATCGAATTTTGAGACCAGGGGATTCGCTGTTGCCTGATTTTACTGACCTTTTGGCTCTTCACGTTTGGAATCGAAGAAACCTGTCGTGAGGGCCTTGCGCTTCAATAAATACGGCTTTCTCTTTTTACTGCTGCTCACACTGCTGCTCTCTGCAATCAACGCCGAAGTTATTCATGCCGGTCAAGTTGGTCAACTCATAATAATTATTCCTTATAAAACTAATATGCTGCATGAAAAGACTTCTATTTATGCGAAAGTATAAACAATTATCGGTAGGCGGAAGACTGTGCGTTTTCTCAGGAATTTTCTCATTGTCTGTAATTATTGATTGAAATGGCGATCTGGAGCAAAAAGTATGGGCCTAAATTTTTGTTTTTCATGAAGATATCCTACAATTCCAGATAATTAAAGAAGATCAGAACTAAAATTATTGTAACAAGTGGATTAACAATGCTTGAAGAAAGCACTAACCTCACCATAAATAAAATATGCGGGAATTGTACATTATCTACGGGTTATTTTATTTCACTTATACCAGTGCGTGTGTATGAGCATCATCGGAGGCAAGTACATTTTACGTATGAAGTACACATTGGTAAATACTACTTTTGATATCTAAAGCAAAAATACAGTATTTCATGGCGTGGGTCGACAGTAAATTAAATTTCCCTTAATGCATAGTTTTCCTTGGTTATTGATTCATAAAAAATCATTTTTGACAGCAAATTGGAAACACGGTACATAAAAATATATGCGGTGATGTAGTGTTAAATCTTGATTCTCAATATAGTTCTCATTTAAATATTTTGGCCTTGTATACTTAGGTTCATCTTCGGCTCAGAAATACGATCTTTAAAATGTCTTTAACCAATGACATAAACCGATACCTTAGAGTGCGCATATTACATTTCAGTTGTAATGAAAGAATTAAGATCGTTAGGATAGAACTGTTCTTGTATACAAGATCGGGTCATTGAATTTATATATACAAAACTAAATCTGTTAGATTACCGATCCTAAGAAAATGGCACACATTGTCTTTGTTCAGAGACACAGCGAGAAGTCAGGACGGCCACGAGTTTCTGCATTTTCATCGACAGTCTCTGATAGTTTGTTGAGTCTTCTAAATTGAATTCGTTTAATTAATGACATTCGGAGCGCTCTATTGCTTGAAATTCGGGGTTCTAAAGTGATCGTAACATTATTAGTTTCCACCACCAGTGATCTGCTTTCCAAAAATTATGATCTCAAATTTATACTCGTGAAAGTAACTGTGTGAGACTCGTAGACTTAATGTGTTTTGGGTTTATCTGTAGTAGAGCAGTTAACTTGTATGTTTAAGGAAATATTATTGGTGAGAATATTGCATGTGTGGCACGAGATCGGGCTCATGTTACTCAAGAGCGGCAAGTTATGCAATAAGCTTGTTACAACAATATGAAAATGACATAGACCGAACTGAGATCATATCAAATGCTCTTGTGACTTCGAGACCACGTCAATATGCTCTTATGACTTTGACATCATATCAATATGTTCTTATGTCTTCGAGATCATATCAATATGCTCCTATGACTTCGAGATCATATCAATATGCTCTTATGACTTCGAGATCATATCAATATGCTCTTATGTCTTCGAGATCATATCAATATGCTCTTATAACTTCAAGATCATGTTAATATGCTCCTATGACTTCGAGATCATGTCAGTATGCTCATATAACTTCGAGATCATATCAATATGCTTCGATGCCGCTCACCCTTGGGCAAGGTGACGGGACAGCCGAGGTTGAGCGCGGCGATCTTGGCGAGCGCGAGTCTCTGCAGCGTGAGACGCTCGAGCTCCGTAAGCTGAAGGAGGTCGCTGGGCTCAAGCGTCACCACCGCGCCAGTCACCGACAGCCACAAGTTCCCGCCCTGTAAGAGAAGAAGCCTTGAATTTCCAATTATCTTAAATTTATTTAATTTTTCACTGTACTATCACTGTCATATGCAAGAGAACAGGCCATGAATTTTCAATTATCTTAAATTTCTTTATTTTCCGCTGTACTCTCACTGTCACAAGTTCTTGCCCTGCACGAGAACATGTCATGAATGTCTGATTGTCTTATATTTGTCAATGTTTAGCTGTACTCTCACTGTCATAAGTCCACGCTGGCAAGAAAACAGACCACGAATGTCCTATTATCTTACATTTCTATATTTTCCGCTGTACTCTCACTGTCATAAGTTCTTGCCCTGCACGAGAACAGGTCATGAATGTCTGATTGTCTTATATTTGTCAATGTTTAGCTGTACTCTCGCTGTCATAAGTTCCAGCCCTACTTGAGAACAGGCCATAAATTTCTTATTATTTTATATTTATTTGTGTTCAACTGTACAATGACTGTCTCTAGTTCGCATCGTGCTAGAAAGCAGACCCTACACTTCTTTTATTGTTTCCATATTAATTCATGTTCAGTTGTTCACTGGCTATAACCACGCTGCTTTAGAAATAGGAAAAAGCCTTGAATATTTTCATGAGCGTTTTCTTTCATTTTAATCCATTAGTTAGTTGTTATTCATCTAACGAGCCAAAAGCTAAGTGTTGTAATTCATTCTTGGTCAATTATAAAACGAAAGCTTAAGTTATCCTTCCTTGACCTGAAACGCGCATGATATATTTCTTCCGACCTGCATGATGATTTATTCAACACCACCGAATTGAAATATCTCTACAAAATAAGAAAAGGTTAATTAATATAAATATTGCAACTATTTAAATATATTAATCGGTCGTATTTCGTAGACAACCTGTTCAAAATTACGCATCAGTGATGAATTACAACGTGTTGAAATATTTCTTTAAACGACGCTTTCGCGCGGAAAACTAAATAAATCTTGGATATCTTTTTGATTGAGTGAGCTTTCATAAAGAGATTTCTCCTTAAAAATAATCGAAATTCATACACGAGAAATACCAGCACCCACTGAATTGATGTAAAGTAAAAGTGAATTGATGTAAAGTAAAAGTGAAGGTAGTGATTAATAAATAACTCAGTACTCACTGCAGTGAGTGCCAGAGAGCGCATTTTCTCGTCGACGAAAACGTGGTCATGGACGGACGGACGGACAGACAGACGGACAGACAGATGGACGGACCTGACGAGCACAATAGCGCCTTTTTTCCATAAATGAGAAAATGCGCTAAAAACAACTAGGACGTCACATGCAGCATGTGCCTGCGTGACGTTGACAGACGTAAGCGACACGTGATCGACGTGTACGTGTCGTGGCGAGGCCGAATGGTATTTTGGGCGAGCTAAAATATATTGCTGCGGTAATAGACCGCGAACTATCCTCTAAATAACTATCTCTAAATAATGGCGGTAATAGAACGCGAGCTATTCTTTAAATAACTATCTCTAAATAATGACGGTAATAGACCGCGAATCATTCTCTAAATAACTATCTCTAAATAATGGCGGTAATAAAACGCGAGCTATTCTAGACGGTAATAGACCGCGAACTATCCTCTAAATAACTATCACTAAATAATGACGGTAATAGACCGCGAACTATCCTCTAAATAACTATCTCTAAATAATGGCGGTAATAGACCGCGAACTATTCTCTAAATATCTATCTCTAAATAATGACGGTAATAGAACGTGAACTACCTTCTAAATAAATCACGTCTGGAGAGAAAGTAACCGCAAAAAATTAAGTTTAAAGGTCTGTTAGAAACTTCACGGGCAAAAAATGCGACTTAATTTCTATCTTTCATTGTCGCTACATGGAAAATTCCTATGATTTTTAGTTGGAAATCGAACAAAAGTATTAGTTTATAAATGCTTAAGAAAATAATAATTTTACCAGTCACTAAAATACAATTAATGAAATTAAAAATGTCAAAGAATGCCCATTAAGTTCTCGCTTGTAGCAATCGTCCCTTAAAACCATTAGAAAATAAACATTAAATTCTTTCTGGAATCTAATGTCGTTTACAAACATTGGAAAATAAAGATTAAATATTCACTGTACCGCGTAACCATCATCGTCGTTTCTAGCTGTTGCAAAATTGTTATTAGGTCGTTCGTTCTGGTTTGGTTCATTGAAACGTAGCACAGAGAACAGTGAAAAAGTCTCTATTCAGATTCAGACTTGAGTTACAAGTTCAGCAGACATCTCATATTGCAAAAATATCAAGATCGAGCACACGATTCTAAGGCCTGCACACGTATAACTCTGTATCTCTAAAACTCAAAACGAACTCCTGGTTTCACTCGCCACTGGCAAAAGACACATCGTGAGCCAGCGAGAAATCCGGCAAAATTAAACAAAGATGGCAAATCTAAAATTCGAAGCAAGAATTTGCCGGAAGTTATTTAATTTACTAGGAAATCTAATATAGAGGAAAGCTAACAAAACCGAATGAGATAAGAGTAGTAGCATGAAACAGGCGAAAATTTACAGCATAATAATGCAGAAAAATATTAATAATTTATCTTACAACATAAGTGAGATTAAATTCTCGCCCGTAGCAGTCGTCGTTTATGTAAAGCTTTGAACGAAGCACAATGGAATATTAAGACCTAACGTCAGGCGTTAGGTTGAGGCGCAGTAAAAACTAATGATCGCGAAAGGCCGCACGACATCGCACATCTTTAGCTCGCCTCCCTCGCCCCTCACTTATTATCTTAATTAAATTAAGCCATAGTGAATGAAATTAAGCAGCTGTCATTGCCATAGTCAGTTCAGAGTGACCGTTCATGAGCAATCAAGGTTCATATAGCCCCTATTGCTCCATACATTCTTGCAGGTTTTGCGCTAAATTCATGCAATTAACTAACCTGCCGACTCATAATGCACTTTAACCTTCGGTCTTTCAATAAGGATCTCCTGATGTTCTGGCATCTAGTTTGGGGGTTGGACGATATGACTAAGATTAACCGGAAAACCTAGTAAAAATTATTATCGTATTTACCAACGAGCTGGTCGCTTGCATTAAACAATCTAGCTCAAGGCATGCAAGTATGCTACAACATAGTGCAAGTTGTAGTGGCCAACAAAACATTCTAATGCTAAAAGCGACTAATTTTGGCGCCATCATAAGAGTCTACTTTCACGGTAAGTAGTAGCGGTTAGTATATGAGAATTATACTAGCCACCATTACTGTCTTCGTGTACAGCCACGACATCAGGTTGAGATATGCAGCAAAGTAACGCAAGAATTGTGGAAGCAATGGTATCACCTGTGTCCGGTCTGTTATCTATAAGATAAGATTGAGCATTCAAGGAATATATATATAGGGTTTTATATGCCTACTTGATGGCGATTAGATGTGTAGCGTGAGGCGAAAGAACTCCTATTAATCAGATGGTTGACAGCAAGGAGTAATAAACCCAAAGGACTCCTGGTTGACAATCAGGAGGAATAACCCTAAGGGCTCTTGGTGGTCAGCTGGTTGCCAGCGAGGAGGAATAACCCCAAAGGACTCGTGGTCAGCTGGTTGACAGCGAGAAGGAATAACCCCAAAGGACTCGTGGTCAGCTGGTTGACAGCGAGAAGGAATAACCCCAAGGACTCCTAGTGTAACCCCAAGGACTTCTGGTCAGCTGGTTGACAGCGAGGAGGAAAGGACTCATGCTCATGCTGGTCATGTCAATCACTCATGCTGGTCATCCGATATAGCGATTGCATAGGGACTCTTACTGAGCACCAGATTATAGATGGATTCACCTACACTCGTAGTGACCCATCAGTCAGAGGCCAAGTGGACATCAGCGAGCAGCTGTTCGGCTAAAAATATCCGACCGCCTTATTCCGTTGGTCTCTGCCTACTCTTCACTCAGACGTGACCGCGAGGTGCATTTGTCTACAATTTGTTACTCAGAAGGGCGAAAGCGTCGTGTTTTGTGGGATAATATACATTTAAAAAATTGTGTTAAACTTTCTTTAATGTTGGAACAAGGAAAATCAACAAACAATTAACAGAAACTTAGCAGTATTTCTGATCGTGGTACAAGTCTACGAAATTTTCTTAATGAGAAATTTTGAGATCATGCGAGCCAATCTGTAGGTGCGTCAGCCCCTTGGGAGAAATTAAGCCTGTAGATCTGAAGATTTTGATCGTTACATGTACGTCATACGAGTATAGCTATTATTTGCAACTGATGTGTATCAACTGATGTGAACAACAGCTTTTGCGCAGTTTAATTTATGTATTAATTATCGTCAGGAAACTAATCCAGTTTAAGTTTATTCTAACTGCCAGCACCATATAGGACACACCAAAGCGGTTGGACCCAACTCAATGCATCACAATGGCGTAGAGATTCTAGACTCATCTGTTACTGTGGATGTCGACGCTTCATTTGTTTGCTTGCAGTAAATTGCTTAGATTTTTATGGCCAACATTTCTCTGCAAATGTATTAGCAGCTAGCGCGCCAAAGAAACCCATTATTTCCACGTGCTTCAAAGAGTTTCGGTCACAATGTCAGCTTGAAATCGGATCAGAAATAACACGAAAATAAAGTTGGTGTCGCGTGCATGAAATGAAATAACATAAACTAAAATTTTGCATACATTTTAATAAAATGCATTTCCAAGAAAGGAACAGTTTGAAATAACACATAAAAAGTTTAAATCTTTAAAGCATACATTGAAAAGTTAAAAGATAATATCGCAGTTGAAACATTAAATAATCAACAGGTCTATCAGGCGTTGCTTGGCCGGTTTGACTATGGCTAACATGGTGTATAACTTATAAGATACAAAACATGACTAATTTCAATCGGGGAAGATGTTAACGTTTTGGTATCCAAGCTAAGGAGCAATAAATCGGCAAAGGGAATTGTAATAAAAGCATTCGATTGCATTTAATTTTCATATAAATTACTGAGTGTGCTGAAATAGAAAGCTTAGACTAACACA